ATTTATTATTTCAAAGAGTTTTTGGTGGAGTCATACAGGATTCTCTATATATGATATCATGACATCTGCAGATAATGACAGTTTTACTTCTTCCTTTCCAATTTGGATGCATTTTATTTCTTTTTATTGTCTGGTTGCTATAGCTAGGACTTCCAACACTATATTGAATGGAAGTGGTGAAAGCAGACATCCATCTCTTATTACTGATCTTAAGGGAACTACATTTAGTCTTTTACTGTTAAGTTTGATGTCACCTGTGAATTAGTCATATATGGCTTTTATCATAAGTGAATGATAGATTTTTGTCAAGTGCTCTTTAAGGATCTATTGATAGGATTATATGATTTTTATTCTTCATTTTGTTTGTGTATCATGTTAATTGATTTCTGGATATTGAAAAAACCTTGCATCCCAGGAATAAATGCTACTTGATCCTGGCGTTAGATCTTTTTACTGTATTGCTGAATCCTGTTTGCTAGTATTTTGTTGAGGATTTTTATGTGTATGTTCGTCAGGGATATCAGCCTATAATTTTTTTTGTAATATCTTTGTTTTGTTTTGGAATCTGAGTAATGCTGGCCCCTCATAAAATGAGGTTAGGAATGGTATGTGTTAATTCCTTTGAATGTTTGGTAAAATATACCTGTGAGGCCATCTGTCCCAGGACATTTTTGTTTGTTGTAAGTCTTTTGATTACTGATTCTATTTTGTTAGTAGTTACCAGTCTATTCAGATTTTCTGTTTCTTCTTAAACCAGTCTTGGAAGATTGGCTATTTCTAGCTTTTTACCCATTTCTTTCTGGCTGTCTAATTTGTTGGCATACAACTGTTCATAGTATTCACTTACCATGTTTTGCATTTCTGTGGTGCCAGTCATCATTTTTTCTCTTTCATTCATGGTTTTATTTATTTGGGCTCTTACTATTTTTCTTTATAAGTCAGCTAAAAGTTTATTAATTTTGTTTGTGTTTTCTAAGAACCATATCTTGGTTTCATTAATCTTTTTATTGCTTTTTTTAGACTCTATTTTATTTATTTCTACTCTGATCTTTATTATTTTCTGTTCACTATGGACTGTGTTTGTTGTTTCTTTTCTAGTTCCGTTAGGTATAAGATCAGATATTTATTTGAGATTTTTCTTGTTTTTGAGGTAGGCCTATATTGTTGTGCCTTTTCCTCTTAGAGCTTCTTTGGCTGTGTCCCAGAGATTTGGGGGTTGTTGTGTTGTTTTTATTTGTCTCAAGGAATCATTTGATATCTTTTTGGATCTCATTGTTAACTCATTTACTATTAAGTAGTATGTTATTTAGCCTCCATGTGTTTGTGTGTTTATTAGTTGTCCTTTTGTAAATGATTTTTAGTTCATGGCACTGTGATCAGAGAAGGTATGATTTCAGTCTTCTTAAATTTACTGAGACTTGTTTTGTGGTTTAGTGTGGTCATGGAAAATGTTCCATGTTCCCTTGAAAAGACTGTATATTCTGCTGCTTTGGGTTGAAAAGTTCTACGAATGTCAGTTAAATCTATCTGGTCTATCATTTAAGGCTGGTGTCTCCTTGTTGATTTATTGTCTGGGTGATCTATCCAGTGGATGGATAACAGTGGATAGTTAAAGTCTCCTACTATGATTGTATTACTGCCAATCTCTATTTCTGTCTATCAGTATTTGATTTATTTATTAAGTGCTCCTACATTGGGTGCTTAGGTGTTTACAAGGGTTATATCCTCTCTTTTGATTGATCCCTTTATCAGCATTTAATGTCTTTCTTGGTCTCTTGTTACAGCCTTGGTTTTCAAGTCTATTTTGTTTGGCTTAAGTATTGCTACTCCAATTCTTTTTCTTTTTAATTGTCATTTGCATGAAATACCTTTTTCTTTCCTTTTAGGTCTATGCATGTCTTTCTATCTGAAGTGGGTCTCTTATAGGGAGCATATGTTAGGTCTTGTTTTCTTATTCATTCAGTCACCCTGTGTCTTTTAGTCGAAGCATTTAGTCCATTTACTTTTAAAGTAATTATTGATAGGCGTATGCAAGGTCTGTTCAGAAGGTATCCAGCCATATAATATGAAAAATAGAGACATTTATTGAAGATACAAGATACAAGAAACATTATACATAGGAGAGTGACAGCTTAGTCCCCTTAAAGGAGGCACCTTGAGATCTCACACATTTCTCCCAGTTGCCATCAGCTGCCCTATCATATTTTCCTGAATCTTGTCAATGGTCTGAAATCTGTTCCATTTCAAAGGTGATTTTAGTTTGGGGAAGAGCTAGAAGTCACAGGGCTCCAAATCTGGGCTGTAGAAGGGCTGAGTCACCTGGGTGATTTGATGTTTTGCCAAAACACTCTGCATAAGACATATTGTATGAGTGGGCGCATTGTTGTGATGAAGCTGCCAATCATTAGTTGCCCATGACTGGGCCTTCTGACTCATCCAAATTGTTTCTGTGGAGGAATGTTCAAGCTTAACACAAAAATTTGATGCAGATTCATTACTCTACTCACCCAGTCATTTTAAATGCAACAGCCACACAGTACACATGCTCACTCAACAGTGTCTCCCACCCCCACTGACTAGTACAGTGAAATCATCACTGTTCACACATACACATTCCAGTCCATTCTCCTTGGCTGCCAGGTTACATCAGTGTTGCACAAACCATTCTTGTTAAATTAACAGTGGCAAGACTTTTTCCTGACAAACCTTGTAGTTTGCCATTTTTAATTATATTTTATTGTTTATGCTATGACAGTTAGACCCACTTTGCCCCCTTCTCAGCACACCCCACTCGTCAGGCAAGCCCCACACCATTGTCCATGTCCATGGGTCATGCATATATGTCCTTTGCCTACTCTGTTCCCTGTGCTGTACCTTACATTCCCATGACTATTCTATAACTACCAATTGTACTTGTTAATACCTTCACCTTTTTCTCCCATCCTCCCAGTCCAGCCCTTCTCATCTGACAACCATGGAAACGTTCCCTGTGTCTATGAATCTGTTTCTGTTCTGCTTTTTTGTTTACTTTGTTTTTTAGAATCAATTGTTGATAGATATGTATTTATTGCCATTTTATTGTTCCCATTTCTTGATCTTCTTAAAGAAGACCTTTTAACATTTCAAATGATACTGATTGTCTCTCTTTAAGTAAGTTCTCAATCCTTTGCTCTCTTCTTCCTTTGGTATTCCTGTGCTGCTTGTGTCATTACACTTGATGTTGTCCCAGTGTTCCCTTAAATTACCCTCTTTTTATTTATTTATTTTTTGTTGTTGTTGTTCTGATTGGGTATTTTCTGCCATCTTGTCTTTTAAATTGCTGATTTGAACTTCAGCTGCATCTAATCTGCTGTTTTTTTCTGTCTAATATATTCTTTATTTCTGACTGGATCTTTTTTATGGTTTTTATCTCTTTGTGTAATTTCTCACTGAGTTCATCTATTTTTACCTAAGTTCAGTGAGCATCTTTACAACCAGTGTTTTGAACTCTGTACCTGGGAGATTACTTTTTTCTATTTGTTTTGGGGTTGTTGGGTTTTTTTTGGAGATTTCTCCTTTTCTTTCATTTGGGACATATTTCTTTTTCTTCTCATTTTGGCTGCCTCCTTGTGTTTGCTTCTATGTATTAGGTAGATGTGTTGTGCCTTTCAGCTTTGGCAGGATGGCCTTATGTAACGGGTGTCCTGTGGGACCCAGCAGTGCAATCTCCCTGTTCACCTAAGTTTGGTGCTCCAGGAGTGTTCCTTATTTGAGTTGTGTGTGCCATCCTGTTGTATTTGAGCACATCAGTGATTGGTATTGACCCTTACTTAGTCTGACTGGCTATGAGGACTGGCCCTGACTATAGCAGATGGGCTGTTATGCAAGATTGACCTCTTGGAGTGAGATTTGCTATAGTAGGGCTCTAGTGCCTGCTTGTCCACTCTTTGGTTATGTCATTTTTGGAGCTAATTGAGGTGGTGCTCTGGTATGGTCTGAGGTCAGCTGCCAGGTTTGTTGGTTCTTGGTCCTCTTGAGAGGGCCTCTGGTGCAGTCCCAAGTGAGCTCTACCCCCTCTGTCTGGCCTGGAGCTACCTGGTAGGAGCTACAAAGTGATCTGAGGTTGATAGCTTCCTATGCAGGACTAGGAAATGCCTAAGAGAGGCCACATTACAAACTGAGGCTGACTGCCACTAGTGCCAGGCTGGGAGCTGCTTACCATAAGGACAGGGCATGCCGAGGCCAGCCGATACTTGTTTGGGATTTTGGACCTTTCAGAGAGTTTAGGGAAGTCCACAGCACTGGCCAAGACCCAGCCACACATGAGGGACACCCACTGTAAGGGGTTTAGGCCTGTGTACTATTTGTGTGGTGTGGGTTCTCAGATAATCCCTCAAGTAGGGTGAGTTTGATAGATACTCAGATTTAGTGCCTGTCAACATCTGGATACTAAGTGGGAAAGGGCTCAGCAAAGGAACAATGACTTCTACCAGCACTTCTGTGTGGGAGAAAGCTGTCTCTCTAGCTATTGCCCTGAAGACAGACAATTCAGTTCCTCCCAGGATGTCCCTGGCACTTTTGGGGCTTCGGCCCCAGCACTGGAGATTAGAGTAAGTGACTTCGAGTAAATCCATGTGCAGGTTCCTTAAGAGGAACACCTGGGACTCCAGAAACCTCCATCTGTCTCCAGCATCGGAGACCAGGGCTGGGGTGCCAGTTGTGGGGCTAGGACCCCTCAATCTATAAGGGTGACCTCCAAATCCAAGATAATCCTTCCTGATTCTTAACTACCACACATGGGTGTGGAACCTACCTGTTACATGTCTCTGCCCCTCCTACCAGGCTTGATGTGCCACCTTCTTTATATCCTTATAGTTCTTCAGCTAGTCTTCAGGTGGTTCTCAAGGGTGGTTACTCTGTAATTTAGCTGTAATTTTTATGTGCTCATAGGAGGAGGCAAGCATAGTGTTGACATATTCCACCATCTTGACTGAAACTCTTTTGTTATTCTTGATTCACAGAAAGAAACAGAGGTAAAGGAACGGTCTGTTTTTGACATCCCTATATTCACAGAGGAATTCCTGAATCACAGCAAAGGTGATTACTGAAGTATCTTTATGTACTCCTCAGGTCTGTGAAAGGGAATTTTGTTCTCAGGAGGAATTCCTTGCTCAAAAGCAGTGGTATTGGCATTCCAGATTCTAGGACTGGTCTGGAAGGAAAAAATTGCTTGTATTTTACTCTCTAGTAAAGACAGCTTCTCAAAGACCAGTAAAGGAAAGTTAGGCCAGTATTGTCAGAACAGCTTTAGTGTCTGGATCAAAGCACATAAACGTACATCACTAATTCTTTTGCTTTCAGACTGTTAGCCTGGAGCCCTTTGTACAAATGAAAGCTCACATTGGGTGTCCCAAATACAAAATAAAGGAGGGCAAAATTTAAGATCATTGTAGTAAAGATGAGAAACCAAAGCTGTGCTTGCCCATTCTCCCAGTGTTCTCCTCAGGCTTTTAATTGTATAGTTTAAAAGAACAAACAGCCCTGTAGCTGAGTGTAGCTCAGTGGAGTGCAGGCCTGTGAACCAAAGGGTCACAGATTGGATTCCCACTCAGGGCACATGCCTGTGTTGCAGGCCAGGTTCCCAGTAGCAGGGCACAGGAGAGGCAACCACATATTGATGTTTCTCTGTCTCTTTCTCCTTCCCTTTTCCTCTCTCTAAAAATAAATAAATAAAATCTTTTTTTTTTTTTTTTAAGAATAAACAGCCCTAACTGTTGGGGCTCAGTTGGTTAGACATCTTCCCACAAAGCAAAAGGTTGCCAGTCAGACTCCTCCTGGTTGGCACATGCCTGAGTTGCAGGTTCAGTCCCTGTCAGGGCTCCTGGTAGAGGCAACTGATGGATGTTTTTCTCCCTTCCTTCTGGTAGGTAGGTAGGTAGGTAGGCAGATAGATAGATAGATAGATAGATAGATAGATAGATAGATAGATAGATAGATAGAAAGAAAGAAAGAGTCTTCAAAAGAACAAACAAACAAAAATACTGGGAATTGCAGCTATTCCTTGCAAACTTCAGTATAGAATATGACCAGTTTTAAGAATTAAAATAGCTCTGGGGAGCCAGGCATTTCATAGCTGAAATTGCTATCTGGAAGGCCATAATGAGAATAGAGAGATCTAAGCTGAATGTTCTTGGAATAGTCACTGGGACTTCTCAGAGAGGAGTGTTCCATGTGTTCTGTGTGTATCTGGTTGGGGTGGGGACATCCTCAGCTCGGGAGGCAGAGCTCCGCCAGCTTCGCAAATCCAACATGGAGTTTGAGGAGAGGAATGCAGCCCTGCAGAAGCACGTGGAGAGCATGCGCACCGCAGTGGAGAAGCTGGAGGTGGATGTGATCCAGGAGCGCAGCCGCAACACTGTCTTACAGCAGCACCTGGAGACCCTGCGGCAGGTCCTAACTAGCAGCTTTGCCAGCATGCCCTTGCCTGGTAATGCCGCCCTTGCCTGGTAATGATGTCCTTACCTGAGTACTTCAGAAAGTGGGAGGTGCTGTTTATGTTGGTGTTGGTGTGGTGAGGCTGAAGTCTCCCCTAAGAGGGAAATCAATAAAATAAGAGGTTTTCCCCCTCAGGGTTTTTCTGTGGGTCATTGTATTTAATAATTACCTGAAATCTTAGGTTCTCTGGTCATTTAAATTTTTCCCAATTATATTTTAATATTATTTACTTTCTTATTAGGCTTAACTTGATATTCAGAACAATGAAAACTAAGTAATAATAAATCCTGACTTAGAGCACTTTTCTTGTGTGTATTTGCTTGGTTTGTAATTTTGTTTTAATGAGAAGGGAGAAGAAAATAAACACTAGTATTTCTTACATATTCTTTCTTGTTGAGGTAAGTCACAAGAGAATACTGGGAGTCTCTTAACTTTTTGTTATATGCAGCTAATCATACACACTATACAACATTTATATACCCATCTGTTTATGCAGGGGTGTCCAACGTTTTGGCATCTCTGGGCCACACTGGAAGAAGAAGAGTTGTCTTGGGCCAATACAAACACTAACGAAAAATGATGAGCAAAAAGAAGGTTTTAAGTAAATTTATGATTTTGTCTTGGGCCGCATTCATAGCCATCCTGGGCCACATGCAGCTCACCAGCCATGGGTTGGACACCCCTGACAGAGTATGTAGATTTCATTTTCTTTGAGATCTAAAAAAAGTCTCTCCTCTGAAATTAAAATTTTGTCTGTGGAGCAGACCATATTAGAGGCATATGGATTCACTTAACTGTGGATTCTTTTTCTTTTCTTTCTTTTGCTATGGATTCACTTAACTGTGTTATGGTCAAACCACATGGGGAGGATTTTCTTAATTTTTCTTCTTATCTCACTTCAGGAAGTGGAGAGACGCCTACACTGGACACCATTGACTCATATATGAACAGACTGCATAGTATTATTTTAGCTAATCCCCAAGACAATGAAAACTTCATAGCTACAGTTCGAGAAGTTGTGAACAGGCTTGATCGTTAAGGAATGGTGAGTACTCACTGATACAATACTATGAGGGGGGGACCCAAAAGAACCAGGGATTTATTTATAAAAAATTATGTATTGGTTTTTACATATTTAAACTTCATTCACCTTCAGAGTATTCTCCATTTGATATAATACATCTATCAAGACGTTCTTTCCACTTCTCAAAACAGTTTTTGAACTCAGTTTTGATACCTTTTAGTGCTGCTGCCATTTTTTGTTTCACCTCTTCCCCATTGGCAAAACAGCCCTTTAAGGACGTTTTTTTATTCAGGGAACCAAAAGAAAAAATGTCAATCAGGGTGCGATCCGGTGATTATGGAGGGTAGGGCACACAGTGGTCATGCCATTTTTGGTCAAAAACTGCTGAACACATTGTGGGCAGATACGCTTGTAAATCACCTATTATGAAATGGGCAAATGCATTGAAAGAGTCTTCAGAAAAATTCACTGAAGCCAAACGCAGCCTCTCACAACAACACCAGCTGGTACACTGATACAGATAGGTTCCTAGAACACTCAGCTAGCAGGGGAATCTTGTACTACAAGAGACCCGCCCTCTAGAAGATAATTCCAGTTTTTTTGGGAGGGGATCCTCCCTTATATATGCCAGCATGACTTCAAAAAGAAGATTGCATTAGTCTTCATCAATACTGCTAAAACCCTGGAATGACACTGAATAAATGAGTTGGAGACTTGATTAAGATCCTGTTACATTGTGACTAAATATAGTCAATAATGTTAGAAAACAAAATCAAAACAGTTTTTCTCACATATGCCTCAGAGCGGTATAATGAAAGGAGCATTATTTTTGTGGTTGGTCCTTGGTTATATTGTCACTCATTACCTGTATGCTCAGGTACTAGTTTCCCAAAGACTATTGAAGAATGAGTGAGGAACTTTGAAGAAATCACCCCCAAAACAGCACTTTAAATACAAGGAAAAAAAATAAATATCACTTAATTTTTAAGCTTCATTTTCTCTGGAAAATATTAATGATAATTTACAATAATAGTCAGAGAGACATTGTATGTATATGAACCTGCATAAGGAAGAAACTTTTCATTGACTACTGAATATCAATAACTGTTGTAAGTTAAATCTTAATGTGGACTAAGCTTACAATGAAAGAGTTCCCTGATTAAATGGAAGAAAAAATAAACTCTCAATAAGCAAAAAAGAGAGGACAGAGAAAATTAGCTTTTTAAAAATATATTCAACAAATTACTAGTAATATGTGCTGTGTTCTTTTCTAGGAGGCAAAAAGTGACATGAAGATACCTTCATTTCCAGAAGGTGTCTGCCCATGTAATAATGGTCAGTCATCCAGTATAATTTCTTAAGTAGAACTGGTATTTGCTCATTCAAATTCCTAGAGATGTAAAGTACTTTTTTGTATGCATCCCACAAAAGTGACAACCCCTTAGTCTACCGATTAAATTGTTCTATACCTATGGACATATAATACTGTGGAAATCCTAGGGTTGGACCATATATAGATACTAAAATAAAAGTGAGCAGCAGGATATGCCCCTAGGAATGGCCAGTCTTGGGTTTAAATCTTTTATATATGTGTCCTGTAGGTAGCTGTGTGAGCACACCTTATTTATATATTCATATTCTAGCATGGTTTGAACCTTGAGCAACATGTATAAAAATAAGTAAAACCCATGATTCTTTATCTAATGAGGCAACATCTGCCAGCAGAGGCAAAAGCAATAGTCTTTATCCTTCTTGGCCCTGCCCTCAGATGATAACTATACAAGGCAATTTTTATACTTTAGCCTCGGCCATGCTCTGATGGAGAAAGGATTACTGTTTTTCTAGTGAGTAGTCAGATGGAAGAGACTGTACTGGACTCCCTGCAGAATAAAGTACAAGCATTAGTGCTGCTGTTTATGAAGGGAACAGCTTGTAAATCCACGCCTGGGATTTTGAGGAGCTCATTATCCTCATTTTCACATGGTGTTTTCAGTTAGCACTCTTGCAGGCTTGACAAGAGACCTAGGAGAAAGAGTGTGGAAAATTGTGAAAAAACACAGTAACTGATAACGTGGTGTCACCTCACATAGGTCAGTTACTGCAAATTTTGAGCGAAAAGTGGTTTTCTGTTTTGAGCATTTTGTGAATAAAATAATCCTAACACTTTACTAATCTTAGGGATAGAAACAATAGTATCTGCTTTCTGAGGTGTCTTTGATAACCTAGAATGTTACCATAATCCTTGATTTCAAACTACAAATATTTTGTCCTTGAAAAAACAATATCTGAAAATGTGAATCATTTTATTACTGTAGATTTTTACAGTGTAGTCATGCAATCATAATTAAGATTATGTATTTCCCCAGACCCTCAAAACTGTCAAACAAAATAAAGATTGTGGTTAATACTAGCTTGACTTCCTTATACAAATGTGTACAGACAGCGAGGCCCAATATCCTTAGTATTTGTAATGCATTTAAGTACTCTGACATAAGGTTGGCAAAGTTTTCATTGACTATCAGGAGCCAGAGAGTGAAGGAAAGCTAATGGTCTCCCATTTTAGAGTAGCACATTAGAGCTAGAAGGTACCATAACTTTTAGAAATTCCAGTACACAGTATCTGTGTAGATGAGTGCAGAATCCAGGTCTAAAATACATGTATTAAAAGTCTGGTTCAGTGGAGTTTCTAAAACATTGCTATAAGGAGGTGGGAGTGGGTGTAAGGGGAAAGCTCTAAAAGCTTTTAGAATGAGAGCATTAAAGTAAATAGGTAAAAAATTACAATCCAGTAATGTTACAAAATTTTGGTCAGCCAATTAAAAATTATTCTTATAAGTTTACAGTGGAAGAATTCCCCCAGCTGGCATCTTTCTTTGTAGCTAACTTGTACCTAGAGAAAAATGGCGCTGAGAGGAAGACTTGAGGGTGATTTCATGTTGAGAGGTGACCTTTTTATGTTGCTTGATTTCAGTCAAACCAAATGATAAATATTAGGCTGTTTGAGGATTGAAAAAAAACTTAAGTGATTGCATTTTTATCACTGTAACAAAATTTATTGATGGTGTGCACATAATACATTCGTGCATATGCAGAGATCCTTAGATTTATACTTGGAAGAAAATTTATTTTGATTGGCCATTATTCTTTGGACTAGAGTATTAATTCTATCATCAGATTTGTCCCTCGTAGTTGCTTGTCTGTGTTAATCTGAACGATTTTTCTAAATTCACATTCTCTCCCCCTCCCTCCCTCCCTCCCTCCCCCTCCCTCCCTCCCTTTCTCCCTCCCTCCCTCCTTTCTTCCTTCCTTCCTTCCCTCTCCTACAGGTCTTAGAGCTCCAAGATGTTCTGTAAATGGTTAGATTTGTGAGGAATGAGAAGCCATCTGTGGACATTTGAACTGAGTGGAGGCAGAGGAGTACAGATGACTCTGCTTGTGTGGGAACTATCAGCTGTGTGTTAAATGCCTTCACCCCAGAAAGCCATATGAGGAGCAGAAAAAAGAACATAAGAACATGTTAACGAACTTCCTTTGGAATCACCCTTGTGAAGCTTTGAAAGCATGCAACCACTCTCCCAAGTCTTCAGTTTCCTATCGTCTGCTTTTCTGTGTCTGCATATATTCTGCTGACATCTTATGCAGCAAAAAAGAAGCCTTCTCATTGTTCTACTTTAGATTGGACCTTTTAATCAGTGATGCTTTGGTTTTGTCTGCCTGTCACTTTTTTAATGCATTTGGGGGTTATATTTTTATTCCCTTTACCCTCACAAAATTATACATCTCCATTTTCTGACCACTGGGCATTGCTGATCAACAGGGTTCTGAAAGAGTTTCTCTTATTGGACAGGCCCAATCTTCTCCTATCTTTGTCCTGCTGTGACTCCAGAGAAAGGGTCTTCTTGTTCACAGCAGTCTGTGCAAGATGTTGTTTCCTGTGCCACACAGTGCCTGGTGAGTGCCAGCCCTCACTCCAGCCCTTGAGGAGGCTTTGTGAGTGTTGCCCCAAGAAGAATATACCTCCTCAGTACTGCCTGCTGTTTTCTGAGGTTTACTCTTGCACATACCCTGCATTTCAGCCCCAGTAAGGTTCTTCTGTTCCCATCTGTTGACAGTGTCTTGTGGAGCATTTTTTTTTTTAAAGGAGAGAACATTGGTAAATAGGAGAGAACAGGAAAAGTAGTTTCTCATTTGGCATTGAAAAAAAACCCTGAAGTTTATAAGTAAAAACTGACACCGTCTGCTCTAGGCATACTGATTCATGGATGTGGGTAGGTGAGGTGTCATCATAGTAGTCGAGTGAACTGACAAAAAGGGCACAGAGAAATTCTCAAGTCATTTGTCTTCCTTCTGTAGCCATACTGTAGAATCTATGTCAAAAGAACAGGCTTTTCTTTCTTCTTCCCCCTTAGTAAGTATAATAAAAAAAAACACATACACACCCAAAAGGGGACAGGAGTTTCTGACTCTTACCTTACAGTTTGGGTTTGTCTTGATGCGCTACAGCACAAGGCTGACAATTGCAGCTCTGATCTTTGGAACCAAACCCAGGCATGCTGAGACCATTGTCCAGGCATCATGCCATCAGAGCAGGTAGAAGTGTGGCCTCTTCACAACATGCTCACAAGTCAAGGTGCAAACAAGAAACCCACTGTCACATTGCTGCACCATCCTATCTTCCCAGCATCTCCGTACCTGATTTCTTCAATAGCCCAAAGGAAATAAAAGAACAACAAAAAACAGCCTTCTTCTTTTTCTTTCTTTCTTTTTTTTTTTTTTCTTTAGAAAAAGGAAAGGAGAGAGAGAAGAGGGGGGCTGGGAGAGAGACATTGATTCATCGTTCCACTTATTTATCCATTCATTGGTTGATCCTTGTATGTGCTGTGACCAGGGATCAAACCTTCAGCTTTGGCCCTATCTGGACAATGCTCTAAACAACTGAGCTACCCAGCCAGGGGAGGGAAAAAACAGCCTTTTTTAATGTCTTATATGAACACACTTCAAATTACCATGCACTGAAGCCCACATATCACCACTTGGCAATTTTTAGAATAAGAACCCATCATTAACTACTGCTATAAACCTAAAAAACTGTTTTGCTCTTACCTGTTACTGCTGGTCCTGTCACTTTTCTCAGACTCCTTGCCTGCTAAGTTCAACCTAGAATACTGTCTATAGCCACAGGACATCCAAGCCAGTTCTGGAAATTTGTGTCTGCCTTCTGCCAGATACATTGTTTTTTCCTTCCTGCCTCCTGATGTTTCTGTTTTCTGTTTCTCCCTTGTGTTAGTTTTACATGGCTTTGTTAGAGTGCTGTTGACCAGGAAAGGTTATAACCAAGTCCAGAGACCATCATTCTCCTGATTCTGGATAGGACACCTGGCATTGATGTGAAACATCTGCATATTGAGGAATGCATGAGATCTTGAAAGAGCCCACAATCTGAAGTCACTTTCTCATAATAAGCAGGCTGCTTTTGAAATACTGGCTCTCCAAGCAGCTACACACCTAACTAACTCACTGGTGCCTGGGATTCAGCTGCCACAACACTGTCAGGCCCATAATGCAGGTCTGTGTTGCCTCCTCTGTGTTCAACCAGGAGGTGGCAAATGAGATTACAGGCTAGCATGATACCTAATTCATGTTTCCCAATAAACTTGTAGATATTAACTGCACTTACGTTCTTCTCAGGACATAAGTTGTTGCCTATTCAGTGTTACAGATTTCTTTTTAAAATACAAGGGGCAGCTGAGGAAAGTGAGACAAAAGTGTTTTATTTCTAACAAAATTAAAATTTTAGGGAAAAAATGTCTACGTATGTCTGGAATTGTTGAAATGCCAAGTTTTCTGTACAAGTGTTTTTGTAATTAAATTTTTATATTTTTTGTTTAAGAAGTCAATATGCTTGCTTGACATCTGTCTTATTAAAACTTTTATGTTGAATCCCTTATTCAATTTTACTTGCATCGTAAAGAAAAAAAGTCCTACATCTTTACCTGAAAGACTTTGTCAGCCCTACATTAATTATCAAGTCTGTTGTGCTTTTAAAAATAACATTTATTTTACTAACTGCTTATTCAAAATGTGTCTTAGCCTTTTTGGAAATTCAGCCCTTTAAAGTATGTTATAACAATACAATGAGTTGTAATTTTAATATAGTAGTAGTATTCTGGAGACAACTTGAATGAAGTTTGATGTTCTTAAAGTCAGTGAGTTTAGTCCCCTTGATAAGACACTCTTCAGTCTTCCTTTGACAAAAGAGGTAAGTTGCCCCTGAATGCTTGCTCTTAAAAATAACCACTGCTTAACCAGTCAAAATCATTTTTTAAAGAAAATTTGCCACCTATTGCCACCATGCTATTAAAATCCTAGGAGTGAGGTATCCTGGCTTCGCAAGCCTGCTGCTGTCCAAGCATCCAGGTGTGTGGCATTAGGCAAGATTTGCTTTGTTCTGACTCTAGTTTTCTCTTCTGACATAACACATACCTTAGGAATTTTACACTGTTGTTAGGTAAAATCAGGTAACAGAATTGACCATACCTCAGAGGATATGAAGACTTTGTTACATGAATGCCAAGAACTGTTGAGGAAATCAGCAAAAGGTTAAATAAGAAATGTGTCTCAGAAAAGTATTCCAGGCATTGACAGTTCAAGATTAATACAGAGCTCTGCACCACAACCATAGTTACATCCTCATGGTCCAAAGTAGCCACTTGACCATCATTTGAAATCACTGGCAGCATGAAGAAAAGGGCAAGGGCAAAATGGGTAAACCTAGCTGAGTCAACATATGTTGAAAAATCTTCCTGGAAATCACACTCAGCACTTCTATAGAACTCCAATGACAACAGCTGACTATAACAGGCCAATATCTTTTCTTGGACATTACTGCCCCCAATAATGGCAGGTTTTAGTCAATAAGGAAGGAAAAGATGATAGGCAACTAACAGCTCAATTCATGACTTAAATTTGTGGCCCCATGCATGCCCTAAGGTGAGGCATGCTGTGTTAGCATGTAAAAACAAGGTGCAGCCAAGGGGGGCCCAAATGGGGATGTGTAATGGGGTCCAGAACTCAGTATCCAGGAAATATTAGAAAAATATCTAGAGGATGTCTTCACCCCCACAAGTCTGAGCTGGGGGATGGGATGCCTGGAGCAGGGCCACTGAGAGCTGTTTTGCATAGCAACAGTTTTGCAGATAACCTCTAGAAGGGTTGTTTAACATATCTATAACCTTTAACTGGTTTCATGGATATGTTAAATAGCTGTGGCCATGCTTTGAGCCAGGGGGATGAGAGTGACTTCCACTGAAGATGTAACTAGGAGGCTACTCCCCCTGGATACTGTGCCTGCATGGGAGCTTGGAGATGATTGGCTCCACGCCATGGGGCCACACCTGCCCAGACTTACTATGGCAGCCCAGTAAAGCTGGAAAAATACGGGAATGCTGGCAGCTGTGGCCAATTGTGGAAGGAGTTGGAAGTGGTGTGGCAAAGGAAGATTGGCGCTGGGATTTAAACCCGGGGACGGCAGCCATGTGGGGTCTTTTTGGAATCATGTGGCTTGGGCAGAGAAGAGCCACAGACTTCTATTTCTCTTTCTGAGATACAGTACCCCGGACTGGGCAGAGGGGGAAGGAAGGACTGTGCGTTTGTGGGTATTCTAAAGGACTTTGGGATCTCAATGAAGACACTAAGTCATTACTCTTAAGTTTGTATAACTCTTTAAATAAATAATCCCTTTCCTTTTCACCAATTTCTGGCATTGAGAAATGTCTTTCCCCGGCGGTGGGAAAGGTGAACCTAGTATGGGGTGGGGGGACCCCCACAGCACAAGGGTGGGTCCATTCGGTAATAGTATATCGTTCACTGCCTTCCCCTCACCACCACCAGGTCTGTTCTGTAACAATCAGGATACATTATCTTGCCTTTGCCTCTTGGCCATCTAGGGATGATGATGTATTTCTTTGGCACTTTTTCCCCCAAACAGCTGAAAACTAGCTTCAGTCTGAGTCAGCATTTCCTATCCCCACCTTAGCTTATCCGCAACAGCTAGTGGCCAGTCTTTTTTAGTAAAAGTCAGCATAAATAGGGGGTAATATTTCCTCCAGTTCTCTTTTCCTAACTGTTCAACATCTGCTATATTAAAACAACACCAGGATAATCTTTCCCTAAGGGTGGAGAAAGTTATTGCTTGGCAGAAAAGTTGAGAGCAACTTCATGCCTTCTGAAAGAATTTCCTGCCTTGCAACTGTGAGTTCGTGTCAAGGGCTTTTTTTCCTTTGTTTTATTTACCTTTTGACATGGTCTGCACTCAGAAATATACTTTACCCTATCTATAAAAATAAACACTAGCTCACACAATCTCAGAGATCAGGATGGAGAGTGAGAAAGATCAGAAGAAAGTGTTAAGGTACATCCACTCCTTCAGAAGCCATTTCAGTTTAGCTTTATTGAAATGTCTGCCTGCAGGAAGAAACTTTTGCCAGATGTAGAAATGTAAATCCTCTTAGCTAGAAAAATGCAGGCAATGGGAAATTAATAGCAGGCATATGCAAATTGTCCACATAGGATTTTTGTAAGCCATCAGCAACACTGTTTAGTGGGAAGATGCTTTAGATGTTTAAGTAAGAATATATAAGACAGTATTGTGGTGGTTTCTTGTTTGAGTCTTAAATATTCACTTGACAGTTGAAATTCAGAGTTCTTGCCCTAACTGGTGTGGCTCAGTGGGTTGGTCATGGTCCCACAAACTGGAAGTCTGCTGGTTCAATTCCTGGTCAGGGCACATACCTGGGTTACAGCCCCAGTCTCCAGGTGGGGGCATGAGAGAAGCAACTGATTGGTGTTTCTCTTCCTTCACCCCTCTCTATAAATTAAATAGATAGACAGGTAGATAAAGTTTTTTTTGAGAAGTTCCTTATCACCTCCTCCTGTGTCTCCAATTCAATTTACCACTTGGGACTATATGAAAGTTTATAAAACATGGTTTCTGCCCCTAGGGTGTTGATAGTCTAGTGGAAAAAATAGATGTGCTTAAATAGTTGCAACACAGGACAACTTGTATTAAGAGCTTTAATAGAGTTAAATAATTTTTGGAAAGGGAAAGAATTGCTCCGATCTCACCTGATAGCATTGATTTTCCAAAATTGCAAGAGCGTTTGCAATGGGGAATAGATCTGAGTCTTGGGGGATCAGCATCTTCACTAATAAGGACTTTATCTCAAATTTTAAGGGAAATATAAAATTCGAGACTGATAACCATTAGAGTTCTCCTAGTAAAGGCTGAGGTAGCTGGAAGGTAAAAGTAGTTGGATTCATTTTAATTTAGATAAATGTTTTTTCAAAGTGTACTTTTGATCATGAAATCAGTATGTTGGTCAGAAACATTTTAAAATTGAAGAAACAATCAGAATATACTACATATAATAAGGCTAAGTTAAATTGTAAAACTTTGGTTTCCGCTTTGGTTCATACACATGTGCCATATTACAATGTAAAATGCATTTCTTACCGTGGGATCAAAATAAAGATAGTCAGTGACTTTTGCCCCCACCTCTGAAGTGGGATGGAATTGCTAAGTTCCAGCTTGGGCTCTGCACATTTCTACTTGTGAGACTTTAGGCAAGTTGCTTAAACCACTCTGTGGCTCAGTTTTCTCATCTGTAAAAGGGATATTTATAGTTCCTATTTTATAAAGTTTCTATTGCAGAGTTAATCCATGTAAAACATGTCACAGAACAGATACCTAAATATTAACTATTATAATTTATAAAAGACTCAAGGGAAAAGAAAGTAATTAAACACATAAGCCAAACACTTTGCTCTACTTTTTATATA